GCCGTCCCTGGGGGGGGGGGCTGCGATCTGCTACACTGTCGCCACTTTCGAAGGCTGCTGGTGGGTCCTGCGAAGTGGCACCGCAGGAACCTGAACAAGACCTCGCCGTCCCTGGGGGGCGCGATCTGTGACACGGTCGCCGCTTTCGAGGGCTTCTGGTGGGTCCTGCGGAGTGAGGCGCCGCGGGGATCTGAGCTAGACCTCGCCGTCCCTGGGGGGCTGCGATCTATGACACTGTCGCCACTTTCGAGGTCAGCTGGTGGGTCCTGCGGAGTGAGGCACCGCGGGGATCTGAGCGAGACCTCGCCGTCCCTGGGTAGCTGCGATCTGCGACACGGTTGCCACTTTCGAGGGCAGCTGGTGGGTCCTGCGGAGTGAAGCGCCGCGGGGATCTGAGCGAGATCTCGCCGTCCCTGGGGGGCTGCGATCTGAGACGCTGTCGCCACTTTCGAAAGCTGCTGGTGGGTCCTACGGAGTGAGGCACCGCGGGGATCTGAGCGAGAGCTCGCCCTCCCTGGGGGGCTGCGATCTGCGACACGGTCGCCACTTTCGAGGGCTGCTGATGGGTCCTGCGGAGTGAGGCGCCGCGGGGATCTGAGCGAGACCTCGCCGTCCCTGGGGGGCTGCGATCTGCGACGCTGTCGCCACTTTCGAGGGCTGCTGGTGGGTCCTGCGGAGTGAGGCACCGCGGGGATCTGAGCGAGACCTCGCCGTCCCTGGGGGGCTCTCAAGAGCTGCTGTGGGATACGTTAGGCGCAGCGGGCGCATGGCACAACCAACGGGGGTGGTTTGTGAAACAGACCATCTGCCGGGCGATGACCATAACGATGTGCCTGCACGTATCCCGCGGGGGCTCTCAAGAGCTGCTGTGGGATACGTTGGGTGCAACGGGCCCATGGCACAGCCAACGGGGGCGATTTTTTATTACGTAGCTCTTAGATCTTGATCGGGGGCCTGCGAGCCTTCCGATTGCTGCTCGCAAAATCACATGCGTCCATGTTGCGTCATCGCCCCCGTTGTAGCAATCCTGATGTACTTATGCCCCGCATTGCGCAAGGGTTGAGTACGTCTTCAGGGTATTTTTTTGTCGCAACCGCAGGCGAAGGCGCCAACGGCGAGTCGAGTCAGCTCGGGCTACGAGCGAAGCTGGCTGGTGGGGATACGCGAACCGTCAAGAATTTGTGCATCTGCGTTATGACACATGTTGTGCGTGTGTGTATACATATATATGTATACCTAGTGTCTCTCCCTCTCTCTATTCATGTGTGTGTGTACTCGTGTGGGCCTATTGATTCAATCTATGGAGCTGTGTGAGTCGACGTTTGCGGACGCGCGCTTCTGTTTCAATAGCGGAAAACCGAATCCTCTGGTCTCTTAAAGCCCTCTTGGGGGTCATCTTGGGGGTCCTCTTAGGGGCCCTCCTGGGGCGTCTTGGAGGCCTCTGGGGCCGTCTTGAACATACTTTGTGCCGTCTTGGGGCCCTCTTGGCAAACTCGGGGCCATCTGGAACCCGAATCCTTTTGGGGTATATTGGGCCGTCTTGACGTCTCTTGGTGGCTTGGTGGGCCATTTTGGGGGCTTCTCGGGCTGGTTGGTGCGATCTTACGGGCCTCCTGGGCTGTCCCGGGGGCCCTGAAGCTCGAAAGCGCGAGTGCTTCCCTCTACCTCATGGGACTCTCCGGCGGCATCTTGGGGGCCCTTTGAATCTTGGGCGTCTTTGTGCCCTGTTGAGTATATCTTGGGCTATCTTGGGCAGACTCGGGTCCCTCTTGGACTGTCTTGGAACTCTGTTGGGAACCTCTGGGGACTTTTCAATCGGTTCCCTTATTCATAGAAAACTGACCTGATACAACTAGGACGGCCCAGACGGCCCCAGATGGCCCCAAGTCGGCCCCGGAGGACCCCAGAAGGCCTTAGGAGGGCCCGATGAGCGCCCCAAGACGGCCACTGTGGGCCCAAGATGGCCCAAGACGGGCCCAAGATGGCTACTCGACGGCCCAATGGGCTCCCCAGATGGCCTAAGGGGTCCCGAAGACGCCTCCCAATAGGCCCCCGGGAAGCACAAATTATAGGTTTTCCTGAAGTGTCGGTGCAATTCGCATGCTCGGCTTCTCGGTCTGCAGAGCGCTCGAGACGGCCTGAGAAGCCCCCGAGATCATTCCAAGATGGTTTAATAGGCGCCCAAGAAAGCCCCAGGACGAGCCCAGGACGGCCGAAGAGGGGCCCAAGACGGCCCCAAGACACTCCAGGAGGGCACCCAGAGGGGCTGCAGACGGCCCAAGAGGGCACCAAGACAGCCGAACAGGGCCCCCAGACCGCCCCAAAACAGCCCGAAGAGGCCCCCAAGATTGCCCAGAGGGTCGAAGACGGCCCCAAAGGGCCCTAAGAAGGCCCATGAGGCCCCCAAGACGGCCTGAAAACGGCCTTAAGCGACCCCGAAGAGAGCCGTCTCGGGACCCTGTATTAGTACGGCGATGGTCATAACTGGTGTTTATATATGTACATATACATACATACATGTATCTCTATACATATGTCGATCTCTCTTACTACACACATGCACACATATACATACGAACCTGCACATACACACATACACACATACATACAACCATACAACCATACATACACGCAAACGTACATACATATGTACATTTACATATTCACATACATATGCATACACACATACATACATACGCAACATGCATACATATATACACATACGCACCACAAGCATACATGCATTTGCATACACATACATATACAAGTGTGCACATGTATACATATACATGCATCCACATACACACAAACACACATACACACATTCATACACACATACACATCCATGCGCAAAACATACATACACACATACATGCATGCATACACGCATACTCTCATACACACATGCACACACATACATACACCATGCACACATACATACACACATACATACACACATATGTGCACACACATACACATACATACATGCATGCATGTATACGTGCATGCATGCATGCACGCATACACGCATGCACATACATACATGCACATACATACGTACATACATGCATGCATGCATACATTCACACATACGTGCCTACACGCATACACATCCATCCAGACATACACATACGTACATCTATCCGTACATACAAATATACATACATACATACACACATACACATATGCATACTTATAAATACATTAACAAACATATACCATCTGATTATGCATGCTTGCATTTATATGCACATATTTTTATATATATATGTGCACACATATAAGCACACATATATGTATGTATGCATGTATGTATGTATACATGCATGCATGCATGTACATATGTGTGCATATATACACATTTATACATACATAAATATACACCTATATATTCATACAGACACACATATATATGATACACACAAATACATATACATACATATCTATACATTTGTATATATACATATATATATATATACATATGTATATACATATATATATATATATATATATATATATATATATATCATCCGCCACCGTACCATTGGCACGCGGTCGAGTGCCCCAAGACGCAGCCCTGAGAGGTAAAAGGTTCGTGAGGTGCTGAACGGCCCAACTTTGGCGCTACCGGGCGCTTCCATTGTGTTTCGCGTGGGCACCCGGGATGGTTCCCTCGCTCAGGGGGGCCCCAAAACGGGCCAAGAAAGTTCCAGGAAACCAGACGGCCCAGGAGGGCACAGCACGCATAATCGTGGACAGATCGCTCCAAGACGCCCAAGTTGGCCTCCAGACGGCCCAAGAGGCCTCGACGAAGCCCCAACAGGCCTCCAAGAGCACTCCCAAGAGGCCTCAAGAGGCAAACATCAATGAGTTTCCTTTTTTCGCAAAAATGATTTTGGAGTTCTCTCCTTTTGGCTTCCCGACACTCCGAGACGGCCCAATAGGCCTCCAATATCGCCCCAAGACAGCCGAAGAGGTCTCCAAGAGGGCACCAAAACGGTCCGAGAGGGCCCCAAGATGGGCCAAGAAGCTTCAAAGACGGCCCAAGAGGCCCGCAAGAAGGCACCGAGAGGGGGCCCAGACGGGAGACCCGAAGGGACATTTTGAGCCCTTGGCCCCGAGAGGCCCCCAGGAGGCCCCAAGGGGCCCGCAAGAAGCCCCCACGAGGCCCAAAGAGGCTCCCAAGAGGCCCCTAGGAAGCCCCAAGAGGCCCTCCAGAGGCTCCCAAGAGGCGCAAAACTGCCATCCAGAGGCCCCCGAGAGCGCCCCAAAGAGACCCCACGAAGCATCCCAGAGGGCTCTGACCCACAACCCAGGCACGGTGGCGGGATGGGCCGAAAGCCATTTCATACGCACCTCTCCGAGGGAATAGAGCCCAGAGGCGATTACTTGTGAAGCCGTTCTGTTGGCACTTCTTCCGACAGTGTAGCTCGGGACATCCTCAAATGTCATAAAATCGGACACACCCATCATGCACATCGCGACGCCAGGGTCGAAAAGCACATACAGGATCTTCAACATCTGATCATCAAGCCTTCAAGCACTCAATGCCCTCAATGATGTCACACATACTTGCTAGAACACCGGTGTTTTGTTCAATGGTCTCCTCTGTAGTTCCTCACCAGGGTACGAGGCAATAGTAGCATCACAAAATATAATCAGTGACTTTGCGCATAGCTTTACGTGTTTGAACACAATTGCTTTCCTGGGGATCCAGTGTAGTTCTCCAGCTTTGTTCCAACCTTGTCTCTTCATGCCCCAGGCCCCTCCGGGGTGCTTCTTAACACGTCGTCTAAGCTCATGCTGTGGCAACCCCATCTGAGGACCATTGTTTTCAGAATGAGCACGCACGTGCCACTTGTATCTGTATGTATACATATATGTATGTATATCGAGATCTTTCTCTCGCTGTTTCTCTTTTTCGTGCGCGCCAGACGGGAACGCGCCCACAACAGCACCTCGCGCGTGGCCGCCCAGCCCACCTCTGTCGAAGAGGAGCCTCACAGCGCAGGCGGCGGCAACTTCTCGTCCTCGTCGTCCTGGTAAGGCGACGGCAGGGAAAGTGACAGTATTAACAGTAGTATCACTAATAAGAAGAACGCGGACCATGATAACAAACATAAGACTAATCGTACAACGTCCAGGTGAGATAAGTTAGAGCTTTCTGACAGCTGGCGGGTCTGTGGGATGGATCGGGGACCGCGGCCGTTTCAGTACGTGTTGGGACGCTCTGGAGCGATGTAGGTTCCTACCAAGCCTGCCTGACTTGGTCTGAGAGGGAGAGCCGAAGAGGCCTAACTTTGCGTTCCGCACAACCCAAAGTTCGGAAGAAGTGGGTCGACACATTCAGCAGGAAGGCGTTGAAAGTAGACTCGGTTCTCGCCCCCGCCTGATCAGGAAAACGGAGTACTATTCGATAGTTGAAACAAGATGCCACCTACATTACGCTGGAATCTTGGAACCCTTAAACTCACACTTCCGCCGAGCGATGGGTAATCCGGCAGTGGACAAACCTCCCTTTAGCAAACCTCCCCTTGAAGAAAACGGCCCGGGACCGAATTCGACGGACCCGGACCCGCAAAAATGACGGCCGCGACGCCCTCTCGCGAACCGAAAACGGCCAATTCCTTAATCGACGTGTCAGGGTAGGAGGTCTATCCACCTCCGAGTAATACGGAACGTTGCGAAGAATCTTGTGCTCTGGTCGCTCGCCCAGGCCAGCGCAGCAAAGGCGACACTTCTGTCGTAAACTCGATCCTTAAAGCATTGGACATAAAGACTGGCGCGCCCACCTCTCAGCAGCGACATCGGCTTCACGCAAGGGTGACCCTAGCGGCCTCCCCCGTGGACCTCTTCCCTCTTCAGGGGCTCTAGAGTAAATCGATAGTCCTCCTCCCCGCCCCCCCCCCCTCTGCTCCCCCTCCTCCTGCTCTCCTCTGCCTCCTTCTCCTCCCCCTGCTTCTCCTCCACATCCTTCTCCCCTCTCCTCCTCCCTCATCCACCTCCCCATCCTTCTCCCCTCTCCTCCTCCCTCATCCACCTCCCCCACCCTTCCTCCACCTCCCACTCCTCCTCCTCCCCCTGCCCCCCCTCGTTTTCATCTTCGTCGTTCTCAGGGTCGGCGGCACTGGCCGTGAGGCCTTCGCAATAGATACTTGTCTCCCAGATGGGGTCTGAGCAGGTGGGTTCTGGGGATCGCGCCGCATCGCCGATGCATCGGCGACTCCAGTGTGCAGATGATCAGGCTCCAGATCGAGCCGCATCGCTGATGCATCGGCGATGCGGTGCGACCTTGCGACCCCGTCCACTCTGGCCCCACTCGCGAGGGCTAAAACATATGGGGCAGGGAGGACGGAATGGGCACGGCCCGGGGCACCAGATACAGTCTGGTCAGTCTGGTACTTGCTCGTGCACCGTGCGATCGGCCGAGCACGGGGCCGAGAGGTGGGAGACGCCGACTCTGCGCTCAACCCCTGGCGGCAGCGGGGGGCCCGCCGAGCCTCCTCGTCCTCGTCGGAGTCGTAGGCCGCGAGCCCTCCGAGGGCCCCCTCCTGCCGCGCGCGCGAGGCTTCGGGCCGCGGTTTGTCCCGTGCCTCCCGGGGGTCCGTCGTCCTCTTCGCCCCCTGCCGTTGATGGCAGAGCTGCGAGTTCCTGGGCAAGCGGGGGCACCATGCTCCGTCCGTTCCTCTCCCAGCTTCGGGTGCATCGAAGAATGGGGCCCAGGGACACACAACTAGATAGGCACAAACATATAGCAGGATCCCCCACATACGTTTCTAGATCTTCTGGGCTTTCGTCTTCCCCCTCACCTCCCATATGTTTCCCATATTTTCCTGGGAGCCGACGACTTTCATTGTGACTGTGTGTCTCTCCCCCTCCTGGGCATCGTGGAGAAGCCTGGCCCTGCTGCGCGGACGGACGGGCATCGGGGGAGGCACGTCGCGCAGGGGCGGGCGGGCTGCACGCCCTCCTGGAGCTCAGAGCCTTCAGGATCCTCCTCCTGCTCCTTACTCCTCCCTCCTCCTCCTCCTCCTCCTCCTCCTCCTCCTCCTCCTGGAGGGGAGGACTGGACCCGAAAGGCGCGTGCCAACCACAGCAAGCGGACGGAGCTTCCCGTACGAATCTATACTACCCCGACTTCCGACCTCCACAACCCACCGGATGGCCGAGTGCCACGCCGCATGCTGCGCGAGCGCCGTCGTGAGAATGGGCTGCTGCTCTGAGCGGCTTCTCTGCTGAACTCACGGCGTCCTGATCCCCGTCGCCAGATCAGCCCTCCGCCCCACCTAGGAAGGCACCCGTGAAGAGAGCAGGGGAGAGGGAAGGGAGAACGGCCTGCAAAGACATAAAGCCAGCAACTGTGCCTGCTGACGCCAATCTGGTGGATTTCTTTGTGAACCTACGTCGTCGGACTCCTGGCGCACGAGAAAACTGCAGTCTCAACCACGGCGTCACGATAAAGGCGAACGACGCAACCTCACTGTACAGAAACTTCCGATCAACTGTGGAACGGTTGGCCAGTGGGTTCTGTCCTAGTCCTCCTCCTCCTCTTCCTCCTCCTTCTTCTCCTTCTTTCCCTCCTCCTCCTCCTTCTCCTCCTCCTCCTCCTCCTCCTCCTCCTCCTCCTCCTCCCTTCTCCTTCTCCAACACCCGCCTCTTTCCGATCCGCTCTTTCACGCAACCCTGGAATGCCTCGACGGCTGTGACTCTGGCCTCGGAACGCCCTTCAGGATGGCAAGACTTCTCCAGAGCACCCTCGGCGAGCTGCAGCTTGTAATGAGTTGGGCGTGTCCCATGGTTTGGAAAAAGGAACCGCCCATCCCAGGCACTCCTCCTCCTCCTCCTCCTCCTCCTCCTCCTCCTCGCCCTCGTCGCTGTGGCCATCCCTCTCCGCCCTATACTAAGAAGAGCTTACATGCACGGGCACCCTCTACTCTATGGGATCAGGACGCAAATGGGTCCAGGGACACAGCAACTGATTCCCAGCGAAACCCATGCGCCCGTGCGCGACTGGGATTTCGAATGCTTGCCGGCGTTGGCCCCAAACAGTGGCTTCTTGCACCCTGGATGTGCGAGATATTTGGTGCAAGCTGCGTGGTACAAGCTACGTGGTGCAAGCTATTTAGTGTCAGCTATGTGCTGCACGCCATGTGGTGTAGGCTATGCTGTCTAAACTAGGCGGTGCAAGCAACGTAGAACAACATGTGCAGTGACAACTGTTTTGTGCAAGCTGTGTGGTGTAGGCTATGTGACGCAAGCTATGTTAGCCAAGCGATGCGATGCAAGCCATGTGGTGCAAGTCGTGTGGTTCAAACCCTGGGTGCAAGCCCTGTGGGGCAAGCTACGTTGTGTCAGCTATGTGATGCAGACTATCTCTTGCAAGCTGTGTGGTGCAATAGATATGATAGGTGTAGCAGATGTTTTGCCAAATCACGGATTGTCAACTCCACTGTTCGCGCAATCATCCCACCATCCTGCCCGCAACTTGTGTTGTAAAACCCATGCGGTCGCGATTGCCGTGGCTGCTTGGGCCTGACTAGCGCATCTCTGGCGGCGGCGTGCTGTTGCCGGCTGGGTGAGAGGTTGCGCTCGTGGGCACCTGCGTCCCAAACCCGCGTGGATGCTTGTGCGAATGCTCAGAGGGCCTATAGCGGCCCCCAGAGGTCCCCCAGAGGTCCCCAAGAGGCCCCAGGAGAACCCCAAGAGGCGCCAGGTGGCCCCCAAGCGGCCCTTTAGAGCCCCTCAAAGGGCTCCCAGGACGCCCAGGAGACCTCAAGACTGCCCTAAGGAGCCTCCTCCTCCTCCTCCTCCTTTCCCTCCCTCTTCTACTCCTTTCTCTTCCTCTCCCCAGTGTTCCCCAAGGGGTTTCACAACGGCTGGGGAAGCACATCGTCCAACAGCTTGGCCAGACTTCGGCCCAACGTTTGGCCGCATGGGCGTTTCCAAAAGTCAGGGGGCGGCGGTGATTCGCCGTATGCGTCTTAGATAAACATAAACTTTCGGAGACCTGTGCGGATTTCTCGACTCGGCGCTGGGCCAACGTGCGCCAGGGGCGGCGCTGGAGGCGCCGCCAGGGTTCATCGAGCTCCGACCTATGAAAATCCGCGGGGAGCTCAGACAATTCACGAATGTGCACTTCTTCCTTCCTCCAGGGATGCGGAATCCGCAGCCCGGCCTGTTCCCCCGTCCCCCACTCCTCCCCGCTCCACACCCCTACCCCATTCCACTCCACTCCACTCGTCCTCACTACTCCGCACTCCTCCAGATCCCTCCTTTTCCTCCTCCCTCTCCTCCTCGTCCTCTTCCTTCGCCTCCTCCACACTCCGGTTTCGTCCTTGCTCCTCCCCTCCTTCTTCCTCCTGAGCACGAAAGGCCTGGGCAGACGCGCGGCGGCGGCTCCTCCTCCGAGGCCGCCTCGGCGGCGTCGCCAGGCGGCGCCGGCGGCGTGGCCTCGGGCTGTGCCGCGGGCTGCGCCTCCTCTGCAGCAGCCTCGGCCGGCGCCTGGTGCCGTCCGCACTCGTCTAACTCCTGCTGGCCGCCTCACCGTGTTACTCCTCAGATTTCTCGGGTCGGCGCGGACCTCAGAAAGTTCATGCTTGTGCTCATTTGCTGTTCGAGATTCAGCGGTCGACGTGGTATCCATACGGCAGGCTCGTGTCGTGACGACCCGTGCGCTGGTTTTTGACACCGCGTGGATTGCGCAATCTTGAGCGATCCCCCGTCCCCTCCTCCCCACCTCATCCTCAGCCAGTGTCCGTGCCGCCTCGCTCATCATATGACTCCCCCCCCGCCTCCATGTCTCTCCCTACAACCATCGCGCTACGATCATGAACGCCAGATACTGGCCATCGCTCGGACGTCCATTCCCTGTTTTTTTTGGTTTCGTGCGTGTTTTTTCGCCAAATCATCAAGGATGCTCCTCGATGGTCCTCGCCGACGGAAAAATGCACACGTCCGAGCGATGCCAATGATAAAGAACGAAGGGGCTTTTCTGGCGCCACAGCGAACCTCGGCCACGAACAGGTTCCCCGACTTCGAGCTAAGGAGCGGCCCATAACACCAGAGCCCCTCCCGAACCCCAAGGTGGTCCTTACTTCAACGTCTTGACTGCACTCCACCTGCCCATCCCCATCCCCCTCTTTCGTGAAGGGGCCCAAGGACACACACATAAACACACAAATGAAATATTTCCCTATATTTTCTCATCTTTTCTGGGTTTTTGTCTTCCCCCCCACTTCCCATATTTTCCAATATTTCTGGGGAATCGACGATTAATTGTGTCTATGTGTTTCTTTCCCTCCTGATTACGTCCGACCCGAAACTCAGAGGGTGCAGGACCCGATGGCGCAAGCGGAAAAAGTCCAGGACATGCTGGGGCTGGAGACTGGGGTGGCGTCCTCAGGCAGCCTCTGGACGAACTAAGTCGCTCGCGGGCCGTCGGCCCAACATGAAGGACAAGGGCGGGGGCTCAAATGCCTTGGGGCCCTGACTGGCGCGGGGCCACGTTCGCACCTCACAAGTCCTCCTGCTCCCCCTCGACCCCACGTAATCTTTTCCACCCTGATCCGAAGCTCTCTTGACCCCACTTCATCGCCTTCCCCTGAACCTGACATCTTTTGCAACTCCTGTGTCAGCGGGTCGCGGAAAGACTCCGACGGGTCTGGCTAACATGGGGTGCCTCAGAAGGCGGCGGATCAAGGAAGAAGGGCTGGCCGCAGAGGGGGCACCTGGGGATACAGAATGAAAGAAAAAAAACGCGTTACCCAAACATCTCGCCATACCGACGGCAACCAGACTGGTTACAAAGCCAAGGAGGCCCCCGTGGCGCCAGAGGCATCATCGGGAAACTGCCCGTGCAAGAAACGCATGAACTCCTGACATCATATTGTTTTGGAAGCACCCGGCCATGCAACCCCCCAATTCACCGGGGAGGGCCCCTCCCGGCCAGGGCTCCGGGTGACGCGGCGCACCTTGGCAGCCGACGGCCGCTTCGCTGCAGCGGCGGCCCCGCCAGCGTCTGGCGCCGCCTTACGCTTAAGGCCTCCGAGTGGGGGGGGGGGGGCAGGAACGGCGATCACCGAGTGCGGCGCCACGCGAACGAGTACGACCTGCACCACTCACGTGATTGAGACCACACGTTTTGACCGTCTCTGCCTCGCCCACTCCCCATTCCTGGGGGGGAGCCAAGTTGGGCAAAGAGCCCAGGTGGGTCCCAGGAGACTTGTGTCCGGGGTAGGACGGTCGAATAAATCCTCTCCCTTGTTCTGCTTACCTTCTACTCCTCTCAACCCTCCCCCGCCTCCTCCAGCTCCCTGATCCATCCCTTTTTCCTCCTCCCCCTACTCGTCCTCTACCTCCTCCGCGTCCTCCGTATCACCCTCCTCCTCCTCCTCCCCCATTCACCGCTTCCTCTTCCTTATCCTTCTCCGCCTCCTCCTGCTCGCCTCATCCTCTTCGCTCCCTTCTCCTTACTCGTCGTCGTCGTCGTCGTCCTCCTCCTCCTCCTCCTCCTCCTCCTCCGCCTCCTCACCGCCTCTTCCTCCTCCTCCTCCTCTTCCTACTTACCTCCTCCTCCACCGCCTCCTCCTTCTGCCACTCGTCCTTCTCATCATATTCCTGCTCCGTCTCCCTGATCCCTCCTCGCGTGAGAGGGCCTGTTCGTCCTGCTTCTCCCAACTTCTCTTTCCCCCTCCTCCCTCCTCCGCCACCTCTTCCTCCTCCTCCTCCTGCTCCTCCTGCCGCTCCACCTCCTCCTCGCTCACTCACTCACTCACTCACGGCACGAGGTCCTGTTGTGAAGGTGCTGCCATTGGCCCCCTCCTGTGGGTATCGTATGGTGCCGCAGGAGGGGGCCATTCCGAAATTGGGCCGATCCGCCGTTGAAGTGGCCGACGAGGTACGAGGGGGGAGAAACGGACGGGGGTTCGAAAGAAGAGGCCGAAGGGGGGCACGAACAACTGGCCGAACGAGGAGGGGAGGACGAAGAGGGGGAACTGCGGGTCGATGGCGGGCCACGCCCGCCCGCCTACCTCCCACCACCAACCTCCACCTCCTCCTCCTCCTCCTCGGCACGCGCACCCCATGCAGGAGGCGACCACGAGGCGCCCACGGGCGAGCACAAAGGCGGAACCTCGGCCCATCCACCCAGCCCGCCAGCCGGGCACTAGGCGATCCCTCGGCACACCCATCCAATTCTTGAGGCACCTGGGTAAGAGCCCCAAGCTCGCCATCGCTCGGACGTCCATTCCTCGTGTATCTTTCGATATCGTGTGTTCCTCGATGGCCGTCGCCGAGAAAAAATGCACACGTCCGAGCGACGCCAAGCAAGGTGCAAGCGCTGCTTGGGGACATACATGTTTTGTTGTCCGACAACTGTTGTCCGCGTCGGCCCCGCACGCAGGAACACCGTAAATGATGTGCAAGCTCTGCGCCGCAGGGTATGTGGTGTGAGCCATGCAGTGGAAGCTACGTGGTGCAAGCTGTGCGGTGCAATCCTGTGGTGGAAGCCGTGTGGCCTCATCTATGTGGTGTAAACTGTGCAGTCTGAGCTGTGTGGTGCAAGTCGTGTGGTGTAAGCTGTGTGGTGCAAGCTATGTGGCAGTAGCTGTGCAATGCAGTCCATCCGGCCGCCCAGCGCACGAGGCGCCTCTGGGCGGGCACCAGGCGCAACCTCGGCACCCAGACACACATCCAGCGCACGAGGCGCCTGTGGGCGGGCTCCAGGCGAGACCTCGGCACACCCGCCCAGCGCACGAGGCGCCCACGAGGCGCCCACGGGCGGGCTCCAGGCGAAACCACGGCACACCCACCCAGCGCACGAGGTGCTGACGAGGCGCCCGTGGGCGGACACCAGGCGAAACCTCTGCACACCCACCCAGCACGAGGCGTCCATGAGGCGCACACGGGCGCCCAACAATTGGGCACCAGCCGAAATCCTGGCACACCCAACCAATTAATGACCTTAGGTAACCAAAGTCAGAACCCTCAAGTGCAAGCACTGTCTGGGGAAACAATTGTCACAGTTCTGCGCGCATTTGCTGACATCATAAAAAGAGCTGTAATCTTGTTTTTCCCTTCTGTCGAGTCTGGCTGTCTGTGTTCGATGTTTTTCAAGCAGCCCTCCGTGGCACTCCCGACGCCGCAGTAGGCTCTTCGACCCCCTGCGCTGGAAACCAAGCCCACTGCAGTTACCACATAGAGCCCTAATACGCCCGCTGCCCTGCGAAGCGGGCTGTCAGATGGCATGCTTCGTCTATCTCCTGTTACGCTCTGGCCACAGGAGGGTGGGAGGGAGGGCTCGCCACATGTTCCCCAAAGCCCCTCCGGGAACATCCCAAACCCTGCGGGAACATATTCCCAGAAGCCCCTCTGGAAAAACGTGTTCCCGGAGGCCCCCTCAGGGAGCAGGAGCCCCCAAACCCACTCTGGGACCCCCTCTCGGGGAAGGAAGCTCCCGGGAACCTCGCCGGAAACCTCGACCGGCCGAAGAAGCAGCGCCACCCGTCCAGACTGCAAGGGGCCAGATATGGGGAATGTCGTGCCTCCGGGGGGGACCAGAGCAGGTGAGGAGGAGGAAGAGAGGGACGAGGAGGAGAAGGAGGAGGAGGCGGAGGCGGAGGAGGAGGGGGAGGAGGAGGAGGAGGAGGATGATGAGGAGGAGGAGGGAGAGGAGGAGAGGAGGAGGAGAGAGGAGGAGGGGGAGGAGGAGGAGGAGGAGGAGGAGGAGGAGGAGGGGGAGGAGGAGGAGGAGGAGGGGAGGAGGAGGAGGAGGAGTCCTGAGTGAGACCGTGCGGGCCGCACGCGCGCACGCGTCGAGCACGTGCCTCGGTCATCGCGCACCCCAGCGAGCTCCGTCCCGCAATCGCATGCTGACCACACGCGCGCGGCCGGGAGGCGGCGGCCAGGAAGAGTCAGAGGAGGAGGGGGTCGGCGAGGAGGAGGAGCAGGATGAGGAGCAGGAGGAGGAGCAGGAGGAGGAGGAGGAGGAGGAGGAGGAGGAGGAGAAGGAGGAGGAGGAGGAGGAGGAGGCGGTCTCCGCGCGCGCACGTGACCTCCACCTTTTTCTCGGAGCCTCGGCCACGAGAAGGCCCTCCCCGACCCAGAGGCTCGAGGAGCGGCCCGTGTCAGCAGGGCCCCCCTGCGGAACAGGAAGGGTCCTGCATTTCAGCGTCCTGACTGCAAACGCATGCGAAACCATGCATCTGAGACGAAGCCAGGACGAGGATGACATTGGGTGAGGATACTTCCGCCGAGCACCTGTGGGTCTCTAGGCGTGTGAGACTACTTCCCCCCATTATCCCCCCATGGACCCCCTCCCTCATGGGCGGATAGAGGGCTTCCCGACGACTCACGAGGGCTCCCAAACGGTCCAAGAATGCCCCGAGTCGCTGCAATATCGTTCCAAGACGCCAAAGACGGCCCCCAGGCAGCCCAAGATGCCCCCACGACACCCCGAACCCACCCTCTCGCCTTCGTCTACATTACCATCACCCTGGACGCCCCCCAAAACCATAGCAAACAATCTACACTCAGCGGGGTCGGCGGATTGGCGTAAGCCTACATAATCCACGTCCGGAGGTGACGTGCTGAGCGGCAGCGTTTTTTCGGCGAGCGCCTTACTGCAACGTATCCAATGTATCCAATGAGTGCATACTTGCCACATGTTGTATTGTGTTACATTATTACGTCTCCCCCCCTAACCCCCCCTGAGAGCTGCGCCACACCGCCGGACCAAAATGGCCCCCCCCTCCCGGGGCTCAGAAACCTACCAAAACTTATAAAAATCGATGATTTCGACCTCTTGGGCCTCTTGGGGGGCCGAGAAGGCGCCAAAACGGTTCAAGATGGGCTCTGTGCGGGCCAAAACGGCCCCGAGACGGTCCGAGATGGTTCCAAGAGGGCCCAAAAAACCCAAATGACGGCCCAAGAGGGCCCCAAGAGCGCCCACAACTGCGCCTCCAGAGGCCGAAATCATTGATTTTCCGATGGTTTGGGTACTATTTTAGGGTTCTCGCCTTTGCGGCCCAAGCAGCTTCGCAAATCGCTCCAGCACAACCCAAAAAGCCCCCAAGAGGGCCCCGAAACGGCCCAACAAAACCCCAAGACGGCCCAAAGAGGCCCCCAAGACGGTCCAAGAGGCCCCTATGACGGCCCAAGAGGACCCCAAGACGGCCCCAAGGCGGCCGCGAGAGGCCCCCAAGACGGTTTCCGAAGGAGCGAAACGGCGCAAAAACGCCCCAAAACCGCCAAAGACGCCCCCAAGAGGCCCCAAGAGGCCCCCGAGAGGCCCCCAAGGGGTCCCAAAAAGCACCCACGAGGCCTCCAAAATGTCTTCAAGAAGCCTCCCAAAGGCCCCAAAAAAGCCACCCAAAGGCCACACAGCGACTGGAGTGTAATGTTATTTTCCCCCCTCTGGGCGAACTGCGGCGCAGCGCCAGCCAGGTGGAAGTTGGTCGCAGCGGCGCCCATGATTAGAGCCGGCGCTGGAAGGAAATATGGGGAGGGAGTATGAAAAGGAGGGAGGGGGTAGAGGCCCCAAAGAAGTCCCCAAGAGGCCCAAGGAAACTCCCAGGAGGCCTCCAGGAGGCCCCCAAGAGGCTCCCAAGAGGCTCCGCGACGACGTGACTGTACGTGCTCCGGACGTGCACCCCGCGAAGCGAGAGGAATCCACGTCTGGAGGCGACGTGCTGAGCGGCAGCGTTTTCTGCGGGGGCGATCATGCAACGTATCCAATGTATCCAATGATTGCAGAATTGCCACATATTGCATTGTGTTGCATTATTATGTCTCCCCCCTAACCCCCCCTGGGAGCTGCGCCACAGCGCCGGACCAAAGTGCCCCCCCCCCCTCCCGGGGCTCAAAAACTTACCACAACCTAGAGAAAATCTATGATTTCGACTTCTTGGGCCTCTTGGGGGGCTAAGAGGGCGCCAAGACGGCTCAAGATGGGCTCTGTGCGGGCCAAGACGGCCCCGAGACGGTCCAAGACGGCCCCAAGAGGGCCCAAAAAGCCCCAATGACGGCCCAAGAGGGCCCCAAAAG